AAAAAAAAAAAAAAAAAAAGAAAGAGAAATAAGTGTCCTCTAGTATAACCTCCGGAGTCTTCTTTTAGTATCAGGAAATGTGGCTCATTGGACCCATGGCATAAAACAGTGAACTCAAAAATCACAGAATACTTGTTCTTTCAAGTTCACATGGAGCCCTCACAAGTTAACCCAAATGCTATAAATTAGCCCAGAACATTTCAATAAATTTCCCAAATCTGATGCAAAAAAATAAAAAATTATGTGAATAGTCTTTATACCACTGTGAGTGGAAAGTTTGGAAACAATGTTTTAAAATATAATAATACATAATCATTCTGATAAAACTCTTAGTGTTCTTGCTATTTTTTTTTAACTTAACTGAAAAATTGAATTCAAGTACAATTCATATTACAATGCTTTTAAGTTACAGGCAGTGAGGATATTTGTTGTGCAACCATCACCACCATTCATCTCCAGTACTTTTCATCTTCCTAAACTGAAACTATAACCCATTAAGCAGTACTCCCCATTCCTCCTCAGGCCCTAGAACTACCACTTTACTTTCTGTCTCAATTTATTTCCTCTGGGTACCTAATATAAATGGAATAATATATGTCCTTTTGTGTCTGGCTTATTTTATTCAGCATAAAGTCTTCAAGATTCCTCCATATTGCAGCATAGATCAGAAGTTAATTCTTTTTTAAAAACTAATATTCCATTATGTTGACATAGCACATTTTGTTTACCATCCATCCACTGATGGACAGTGGAGTTGTTTCACCCTTTGGTTGTTGAGGATAAGGCTGCTACGAACAAGGATGTATGAAAATCTATTTGAGTTCCTGCTTTCAATTCTTTTAGGTATATGCCCGCAAGTGGAATTGCTGATCATACAGCAATTCTATACTTAATGCCTTAAAGAGCCACCATATTGTTTTCTACAGTGGCTGTATAATTTTACATTCCCACCAGCAATACACAAAGGTTCCAGTTTCTCCAAATCCTCATCAACACTTGCTAATTTTCATTGATAACAGCCACCACAATAGGTGTGAAGTGGTATCTTGGTATGGTTTTATTTAACATTATTTTACAAAGTGTGATTTTTTTCCTTGCCACTCTGTGAGAGCTATGATAACAGGGTAAGGGCAGAAATATAAACTTCTGGCCATGGCTTAATCACCCCTGTTCAGCCTACCTATCCACACAAGTTTGGGAACAGATCGTAACAAATGACATGGATGATATTCATCATTAATCAGAAAATTAATAACACTGGTTTGCATTGTGATTGAAACAACTTTGCTTTGAACTGAGCCACAGCAGCAGTTGAAAGGATTTCTTCACATCAGGGGAGAGCAGTGGTAGAAAGGCAACGATACTGAATTTGAAAACTGGGTTCTAATCCTGCCTCTGTGACCTTGACAAAGCATTCAACTTCTGATACTTATTTTCTTCATCTGTGAAACAGGAATAATAACTCCTACATTTCACAAAGTTGCTGTAAGGATATTATGTGGGGAGGAGGTACTAGAATCATACCTACCATATATGGGGTGCCTATTAAATGACAGATATTGTGAGAGGTGGTTGATATGCATTACCTCTAATCCTCATCACCAGGTACATGCATTATCTCCACTTTAACAGAGGAAGAAACCTAAGCCTCAGAAAGTTAACTGTCTTGGTGCCCTCCCTAGTGGTGCAATGGATTGAAGCACAGCACTATGAAGAAAGCCACATCTGTTTTGGTGTGAGTTTGATCCCTGGCTGGGGTGGGGGGTGGCCCACATGGTACGGCAGACCTTTCCTGTCTCGCCCACTGCTTCCCTCAGCAGTGTACGTCAGTCGGCCTGTTCTGCTCCCCACTCTGTCTCTGGTGAATGCTCTCCCCACCGCCCCGCACCTCTGGCCTGTACCCCAGTTCTGTATGCATAGATAAATGGATCTTTACCAAAAAAAAAGTTAGCTGTCTTATCTAAGATTAGACAGTGATGTAATCACCATTTAATGCTCTTCTTACTGCATACCAAAGGCAGCAAGCCATGTGTCAGCTCGAACCCACAGTGTACTTTGCTGAAAAAATTCTGACATTGTACCCTGTCTCCACACAGTGCTAGCATAATTTGTCACATAGTTGATATCTGGATATTACAGCTAAAATGCTGCCAAAGCAGAAGGTACACTCATGTATAACATTTCTATTAATTTGGAAACACTCAATTGTTCTGATAAAGGGTACTAAGAAAACCAAGAATTCTTGTAAAGAAAAGAAAAATGAAAGGTTTAAAATTTTAAGGATAAGTCCTAAATAAGAGCATAATTTATTGCAAACACTGCTTTGAAAGAACTCGAACAAAGAGGCAGTTGTGAAAACAGTAATAACACTTAAATAATATAAATTAATAATGTCAATTGTTAATCTTTATGGGGATTTTCTATTATTCTAATTTACACTTAAACATTTTGCCTTTCCCTTGGAAACTTAGAACTTTGGTTAAACGAAGAGTCTATATGTTAGCAACTTCCAAAAAATACTTTTTGTAATATATTTTATAACAAGTGATGACATATAGTCTATATTTCATAAGGTCAATATATTAATAAGCAAAAAAAATATTCCAGTCTCTGCAATTCTATTCTAAATTGTATTCCTTCCAAACATCTAATTTACATATTTTATATATGTTTTATAATGTAAAATGATGCCTTTACCTTTATAAAATAATTATAATGGCAAATATTATAAAGTGATTATAATGGCAAAGTACTTTATAAAGCACTTAGAAGTAATTATAAGGCATGCTGAGAAACCACAAATTCTCATAAACCTTATATACTTACAGTCTCTCAAAAGAGTATTACTTTTCCTCGGGTACAAAACATGCATGAATTTCTTCCCAACAGCTTTTAGATCACGCATCTGAAAGACATAAACAACTTGGTGTATTGTGATGGCAAGCTGGCCAGGCAGCCCCCTTACTTCACTGCTAAATTTCTTTTCTTTCATTCTCCTGGGAGCCCTTCCTTGAATTTTAGAGCTATATTTCCAGTCCCCAAAGAAGCCAGAGAGATAGAGTTTGTTCTTTCTATTCATTCCATAAGCCAACATCTAACTTTTGAGCACATCCACATGTCCTATTTTGATATTTACAATTCCATAAAAAATAGCCCTCTTAATATGCTACTTAAAGAAACTAAAACAGTAGTTTACTAAAAGATGCTTTACAAAATATGGTATTTACAAAATATAGTATTTGACATTTAGTTTGTATGTGATAGGACCATTAGCCTGCTACTTTAGCTACTCCAGCTACTACATTCTTCACAATATATAAAATAATTTCACAATATTCCCAATTTAATTAGCAAATATAAATTCCCAGAAACCAGATACATACTTCCCCGAAACAATCAAGATATTTGAGGATGGGTATGTTAATATAAACATAAACTCAAAAAAGTTGGAGATAATTCTGCCCTAATTTTTTAACCTTGAAATTTCTTCACCTTCACCTCATTCCTTGTAAACATGATTTTAAATGTTTACCAATACACCAAATAGAGTATCATTTACTTAATCAATAACCCCAGTTATTCAACTTTTTCTATTATACAAGATGCTACAATGAACATCTTAGAGGAACATTTTTCTGTACTCTAAAAAATACATTTGTATTTATTTTTTTTTCTTTATAGTGTATCTTCAGAAGCAGAATTATCAACTTAAAAAGATAGGACATTCTAAGATTCTTAATACCCACTATAATTAATCTGCTTTCAAAAAAGGCTAAACCAAATCATCCTCTAAGGGAAAATCTTAAACTGCAGTAAATAAAATATATTAAAAATCAATGAAGTAAACAAAAATATTACAAAGTACTATTAGTTATTTAGTTCCATGATATTGAACAGAAGTTCTCTCAACTAGTCCAAAAACATACAATGGTATTCTGAACTGATTCATTTAATGTAGAGCTGTCAAATTCCCGAATGCGAGATCTCATAGGAATGGTGATTTCTCCTTCCACAGGTATGTCTTGTGAGATGGATATATCTGAAAGACCTGCAAACTGAGAAGAGTATGAAAAAGAAATTAAAGTCTATAATAAACTGAAACATTCTTCAGATATCAACAGTTCCTAGAGACTAGGGACTAACTTTTTGTAGGTTTATATCTTTTGAAAGTAATTGCTCATATGACATTAAATTATAGGTAACTAAACTCTCAAATGCTTATTTCTTTTAAAGAAGAGCTGGCATATGGTGGCGGGGGGATGTCATAGACACTTTCTTGACCTCATTCATATATTTGGTTTCTTTCAAGCACGAAATTTTCACATGATTCAAGCAAATCAAATTGTAGAGCTAGTAAAAAGCACTAGCACCCTAGTATAGCAAGTAAGGTTCTGTAGCAATTCTGCTCAATGGGAACTAGTGGCCTCTGCTGGCTAAAGAGGAGCATTACGAAAAGTCTAAAGGGAAATGGGAACAAGGGAACAGCAAACCACACCTGGATCTAAGACATTCCTTTTATCAGGTTACCTGGCAACCACAGCTCAAATGTCATTTCCAAAGTGAGTTACAAGAATGCAAACTTTTAAATTCTATGTTTGCTGCCAAATTTAATTACTCTGACTGAACTTGCTAAAAAAAAATAGAAGCAATCTCTTCATTTATGGATTTTGGCCCAATGGACACTATTTTTAGTGGGCAACACTTGAGGATGAATTGATGGCAGAATACTGGAATTTTAGGAAGAATAAGTTTAGAGGATTTATGAAACCCAATTTCTCAATCACACCCATTTAAATGCAAAAATGCAATCTCACTTTAGATGACCACAAGTTTATGTGGAACATTATGTGTAATGCTACAGTTTACAGTTTATCTAGTCTCCTGGATTCTAGACATTCTCCACAGTAATTCTAACTCTACTGTGTTATCAAATTCATGATTTTAAACCCTTCCCACCTCAAAAATTTCCATATGTGCCATTTATGACTAACTGAAATAAAATTTTTCACCAATTAGAATAGTAAAAATCCCAAACTTTGACAACATACTCGGGTTGGGAATACAAAATGGTACTAAATTCTGTATTGGCCATATAAAACAAATTTATATATACTGATCACACTTTGAACAATGTCGTTTTCAGGGGACTAGTGAAAAATTGGTAAAAATACAGAAGAGATATACACAGGCTTTTCAGTCCAACTCGATTTGTAAAAGCAAAATCCTGAGAATAACGCAAATGTCCATTAACAGAGGACTATTTGAAGGATGTTCATACATCTAGTGCAGTACTATGCAGCTATAAGGCATGGAAGCAGCTCTAAAGAATATATATAACCAGGCACATAATGACCTTCCAGTCAACAATGAGTTACACAGACAACCGTGGAGCAATAGGCTATATGATACAGCTTAGGTATGTAGTAGGCTATACAATTCAGGCTTGTGAAAGTATACTCTAAGATGTTCCACAACAAAATCACCTAAAGACACATTTCCCATCCTTAAGCGATGTAAAAATGTATTATAAAGTGTTAAATAAAAACAAAATGGACTACAAAGGAAGATTACTGGAGCTTGGGTGGTGGGTATAGTATGTAACAACATTTGTACAGGTGTGAAACAATACCCCTAAAACATATAATGCTATAAACCCTGGTTACCCCAATAAGCATAACTTAAAAACAAATAAAGTGACCAACCTAAAGCTATTCAGCAAATTCAGCATTTACCACCATATAAAAAATAAAATTGGTATTGACAAAGCAAAAGAAGCAACATGGAAACAAGTTTGTATATATGCTGCCATTTATTTAAGGAGAGACAAATGTATATATCTACATGCTAGCTTTTGAATGTAAGGAGTCATATGATTGTTCTTTTCATATTTTTAAAGAAGTTTTCTGTTAAAGGAGGAGATACAAAGAGGCTAGACTTCTCTTAATATGTTCTTCTACACATCCAGCTTGAAATCATACTAAGTAGTACATATACTCATGAAACAATTAAAATTTAAAGACAGTCCCTAAAACTGCAAGACAAATGGAACAAATGAATCTACTGTTATGTTGAATTAAATACACAAGCATACAGAGAGCAACTATTTCCAATCATTTTACAACATTGTAATTTGAGTTATGACTAGGATGTAGAAAGCTGGAAAGAGCACCCTTCTTAGTAGTACAGTGAGAAAAAGCAACTACAAAATCAAAACTTTCCATGAATCCATCAGGGAGCTAAGACTGCAGGGCAACCAAATAGGCTAAATGGAATCTCAGAAAAGACAGGCACTTCCGAGAAGAGATGGGACATGAGTATGAGAAGAAGTAACACTGGGCTTTACACAGTTGGGTAAGAATTCAGCTACAATTTGAAATGCTGAAGGCCAAGAGTGGCACCCCTGGAAGCAGCCCTGGAAGAGTATATCACCCCTGGAAGCAACAGACATGAGGTGTTCACACCAACTTGCAGGATCTTCCCCCAGAGTTCCACATGCAGGTATTAGGAAAGGGACCCTTCTCCTCCACAGACAAACAGCCTTAAAGTTACTGGAGGCACACTGTTACCTCCAGGGGACATGTGAAGACCCCACTGTTGCCGGGAGAAGGGAAAAGTTAAATTTCTCTACTTCTGGGGAAGGGATAGGAAACCATCCTAATGTCAGACCATTAGTCTCTTCAGGCTGGGGGAAGGATGGGATCATCGAGAAAGCGCCACCTCAGAGAAACAGGAAAAGTGGGCTGCCTAAGGTGGCAGCTGGACCAAAACAACAAAGAATCCACCTCCCCCCTCTTACTACCTAGCAAGTAAACAGTAACATCAGCAGCAGTCTGCTGCTAGAAGAGCTAGAGCTTGGAAAGAGACTATTTTATGCCACAGCAAAGGGAAAACAGAAAGCTTAGTATAGAATTGGAACATTAAGAAAAACACTGGAAAACTAGCACCCACCCTCCACACAAGGTAATAGGAGAGGAATCTGAGGCTAGTAACACACCAAGGGTTCCCATAGCAAGAACCAAACACGTTTCAACTCCTGATGTTACTGACTTGCAGAAAAGATGTGCTATTCCCAGCCTATGCTGTTCTATACATGACAGACAGCATTTCATTAAAAAAAAAAAAACTCCCTTCCCAAAACACACACACGTATATGCAGACACACACACAACCCACTGCTATGAGACAAAACAATCAACAACACCACTCTTAAATAACCCAGATATTAGAATTATCAGAAAAAAGAATTAAATGACTATAATTAGTATGTTTAAAGGCTCCAGTAGAAAAAGTATATGCACCAGTGAGGATGAATTTCTGCAAAGACATGGGAACTATAACAGTCAAATGGTAAATGCACAAAATAGGTGGATACAATATGGATAAAGAAAGCTTTTAACAGTTTTAATATTAGTGACAGCCATTCAAAACCACTGACACTAAAATAAATAATTATAAAATATACCACCCATTATGTGTACAACCTAATACAATGCTACAATAATCATGTCCATAAAGTTGGAAATAGAGAATCCGAGAGCTGTAGATCAATATAATATGGTCAAACGTGTACATAATCAGAATCCTAGGAGAGACAATGATCTGAAGACATTTGAAAAAAATGGGCAATTTTTTAAAAAAAAAATAAAGGAAGATTGGTCCTCCCTGGTGGCGCAGCGGGTTAAAGCACAGCAATAAGAAGCTTAAGCCGCTTCCGCATGAGTTCGAACCCCGCCTGCCCGGGAGGAGATCCACATGGCGTGGCAGACTGCTCCTGACCCGCCCGCTGCTCCCCTCAGCAGTGTACTTCGTAGATCTGCCTGTTCTGGTCCCCACTCTGTGTCTGGTGAATCCTTTCACCCTCCACATCTCTGGCCTGTACCTCAGTTCTGTATGAATAAATAAATAAATCTTAAAAAAAAATAAAGGAAGACATAAAAAGACAGATCCAAGACAGAGAACCCTGATCAAGTTAAGTTGCTAAAGAGAAAACAAACCCAAAATCCACAAACCTCGATACATATAAACTGCTAAAAATCAAAGATGAGAAAAATTTTAAAGTAGCCAGAAAAAAAAAGGCTTACAAAAGAACAAAGATAAATAACAATCTCACCCAAAGCTATACATCAGAAGATTTTGATCTTCTTGATTGTATTACGGGTATGTACAATGCTAACTTTAGAGGAAGATGAATGAGGGGTATATACCTAACTCTAGACCATTCTTGAAAATTTCCTGTATGTGCAAAATTAGTTCAAAATAAAAAGGTTAAAACAATAACCCACAAAGAACTGTAGTAGGGAGATAGATGAAGAGAGAGTGGCAGAATAGGCACACTGTGGTCTATTATTATACTATATATATTTAAAAGCTTCCTTAATAAAAGCCATTACCTTAAATCACTCTCCTTTTTCTCCTTTTCTCTGATCAAACTACTCTTCATTCTACCATTCACTTAATCCTTTTGTGATCTGGCACTGGCCTCCACACAACTTCACTGGCACTGTCTCTAATCATGACCTCAGTCAATAAATCCTTTCTCAGTTTCACCTTCCTTGAATATTCTGCATCACTTAATGTGTAAACTACCCCTTTCTGAAGTCACACTTTCTCTTCACCACTATCACACTGCCTTTTCAAGCTACAGCATTGCTTCTTGAATTTCTTTGCCTGCTATTGATATTGATATTGCTAGGACAGAGCAGAAGTAATGGGCTTTGAAGCCAAACATAGTTCTGTTGTCATTTGGAAACGCTAATGTAATAAATTAGATAATATCTGCATTGCACCTAACACAGTCAATGTTCAATATTTGGCATCTGGAGAGTATTGGTTAAGAGTCCGAGCTCCTGGAGCCAGTGAGCCTGGTTCCAAATCTCCGCTCCATCATTTACTATCTGTATAACACTGAGCAGGTTCCTTAACCTCTCTGTGCCTAAATTTCCTCATCTTCAAAACTGTAATAATGGTACCATCATCACAGGACTGGTAGCATTATTACCTCGCAGCAGGCTCACAGCAGGGACTCAAGTACAGGATTTCCAGGGTATTGATCCCAGTAGTCACTATGGTACAATAAAGAATTTGGCTGGCCTTTGAACCCTATCCCTTGGAGGTAACCTCTAAGCCTCTACTATTTCCTAAATAATAGTATTTTTGGTATTCATGATGGGCCCTAACAAGTTATCTATCACCTCAGAGTAGACCTTTTGGTCATTTTTGAATAATGAGCATGGGATAACTACTGCAGAAAGATCTAACACAGATTAGAGGGTGAAGTTTTGAGTCACATGATAGAAACCTGGCCTTTTGGGAGAGAAGACAACAATCAACCATGCCTACATAATAAAACCCCAACAAAACTTCTATATATATATATAGGTATCTTTGTTTGGCAATATTCTGTGCATTATCACACACTGATGTGCCTAGAGGTTAACAGGGTCCTGACTTCACAGGAAGAAGATAAGGAAACTCTGCTAAGGACCTTCCCAGACCTTTCTATACACATCTCCTTTTGTTCTTTTGGATTTGTAAACTTCTGTTATGAGGAAACCACAATATAGTGCTGTTTTGAGTTCTGTGAGATATCCAAGTGAATCATGAAGCTTGAGGGACTCCTTGAACTTATAGCCAATAGGTCAGAAGAGAGGACTTGCTGGAATCCTCAAAATTTAGGACTGGCGTCTAAAATAAGAGCAATCTTGTAGACTGTTGTGTCCTTAAACTGTTAAGTTTGACCTAACTATAGGTAACTGGTATCAGAAGTCATAGTCATCACTACAGTGTCATGTGATTCCCACCCCAACTCTCATCTCAACCCTTTCTCAGTATATCATGAGCTAATAACATTGTTCATAAGTTGAGCCAGGACCTGTGGTCCTCCAGCCCCACATATGACAGACAGGATTTCTAGGTCCTCACCTAGTGAACGCTGCTCTCTGAATAGCCCCTCACTTGGATGAAAATTGACTTGAGTCCTATTCCCCTCCTCTTTTCTCATGTAGGAGGCTCATGCACATATACACATGTGTACACAGAAATAAGTGAACACACTTTGCTACTTGTGCCAAAGGGGAGCAGGTAGAGAAAAGGTCCCCAATACAATAAAAGCAGGGGCTACAGCCTTGAGAAAGTGGCTGCAAGAAAATGGGTTATGATACTGAACAAAATCCTAAAAATGAAAAATTGTTAACAACTGGGAACATCAAGCAGAAATCAGCTCAGTCCAAGAGGCCTGGCTCGAAGGAGTGTATGTCTAGATGATGACTAGTGACATGATCTCTAGCCAGCCCTTTCACAGGCTACAGCCATTATTATAGTTTTTCTTCCTGCCCCTTAAATAGAAATTTAAAAGATATTACCCAAGATTCTGTCCTTTCAAATCTATACAGATGATTCCTAAGCCAACATCTTCAGTCCTGATCTCTCCTGAAGTTCAGATTTTCGAGCCCAAATGACTGTTGGATATCTATTTGATGGCCTTCCAGTATCTTAAAATCAACATGTCCAAAATTTAATTAATCAACTTTTAGGGTCCTCATATTCTTCCTACAAATTTCTGTTAAGGGACGTGCTGTACTCCCATTTGATCATAGCCTCACTTTTCAAAATGTGGTACTAGGGACAGCAATTGCTACGCCACTAAGGAGCACCATTAGAATGCAGAATTTCAGGCTTTCATTCCAAACCTACTGAATTAGAATCTGCAGTTTAACAAGATTCTCTAAATGACTTCTGTGCACATTAAAATTTGAAAAACACTAATCTAAGACAAATTCACCCTAACACTGCAAACCCTTAAGGCTCCCACCTTATCTTCCAAATATTCATGTCTCCCTGCCATAGTCCTGATAGTCATCACTGCTGCACAGTGTATCTAGTCTCCTGGATTCTGGATATTCTCCGCAGTAACTCTAACTTTACTATGCTATCAAATTCATGATTTTAAACCATTCCCACCTCAAAAATTTCCACTGGCTCTTTGTCGATTAAACCTCCAAGTTTAGTGTCCTCTAAGAAGAAATAATACTGCATAATTATGTGCCAGGCACTCTACCAAGTACTTTACATGTGTTAACTAATTTAATTCACCAAGTAACTCTATGAAGTATAAGTATATTTCCATTTTATAGATGGAAAACTGAGTTATAGAGGGATTGGTAATTTCCCTAATACCCACAACTGGTTAACTGTCAAAGATTAGACTCAAACTGAGGCAATTTAACCACTGTTCTATACTGCTTCTCTAGGTCAGTTGCCTTATCTTTTAAGGCTTACCTCCTAACACATCTCCACTACAGTCACAACATTCTACCTATTTTTGTATAAATACCACCCAATCTCTTTTGTACCTTCACCAGTGAGAGACTACGTAGCATAATGAAAATAGGGCTTTAAGCAGACTGAGACTTAAATTTCAGGCCTACCTAACCACTAACTCATTCTGAGACCATATGAGTCTCAACTCATCTGCAAGTAAATAGTTTAAAAAACACTTAATTGACTGACAGATGAATGAACAGAGGTGTACATAAACGATGCCATTTACAACAAGGATGTATCTTGAAGGGATTACAGTGAACTAAAACAGAGAAAAACACATACCATATGACTTTACTCACACGCACACGTGGAAGATAAAGAATGAGCCAACAAGATAAAGCAAAAGCTAACACTTAGATACAGAGAATAGATTGGTGGTTACCACAAGGTGAAAGTAGTGAAGTGGGAGTGAAATAGGAAAGGGGTGTCAACTGTATGGTGATATATGGAAACTAGATTTGCTAGTGATCATGATGTAGAGGTAACAGAGGTAATAAAACTGTGGAACACCTGTAACTGATGTTGCAAACCAATGTAACCTCAATAAAATTTATTAATAAAAAAACTTCACCTATTGAAATCATTGCTATGAAATTTAGAAAAATGCAGAGTATGTCTAGCACAATTCTGGCAGAGAGGGTATTCAGTCATGAATAGCTCTTAGGCTCACCTGGAACTTCAAATTATCCACATATTGGAGTCATTTTTCAAGTGTAACTTCTACCATGCAGCTAGCATCTTCTTTTAAATTTCCTTAACATCTTATGTGTAACTTTCTCTAATATATGCCTATATTTTAACACTGTAATATCCCTACAAACCAGACTGCAAGTACCATAAAGTCAGGCCATTTGTGTTCCCTAAGGTAACTAAAATAGTGCATTACACATTGTACTTAATAAATATCTGCTGAACAGATGTGGAGTGGATACTAACAAGTGACCAGAACCAATGAAATTAATTGGTAAAATCTTCATAAAAGAGTGGAGCATCACGGGGATTACAATTGAGATGGAAAAAAAAAGAGGAAAAAAGAAAAAAATGTACAAATGATGTAAAAATAAACTTTTGTAAAATAAAGAGTGGAGCAGTTTAGATGAGAGAAGGAGACTAAAAACAGCTAAATACCTGTAACATCAGGTACTGCCTGTATACTACTTCATCAGTTATCACAATTTTCTGTAATGATTTACTATCCCCATTTTCCAAATGAGGAAACTGGGGTTCAGAGCAATTTCCTCAAGGGATATAATAACTGCTATGTGAAAACTTGGGACCTACTCACTCTCTTTGACTGCTTTATTCCAAGTGCCTAAAAGAGTGTCTGGACTATAGTGGATGCTTGAAAAGTATTTGTTGAATGAAGAGATGAAAAAATTGAGGAATGGGGCTAATAACAAGAACCAGGATTAGAATCAATTTTACCTGACTTCCAATTAAGTGCCCCCCTACTATGCTAAATTGTGATTTAAGACAAAGTAAGTACCATTTATTAAACAACTACTTAACAATATGTGGGCGATAACGAAGCTTTGTTTTGAAGAAGGAAGTAGGGGCAGAATGCTGAATTAATTATGCTTCTTGGCTCAAGGCACTGATTGTATTAGATACTTCCCATTAATTATGCCATCAGCTTCCTAAAAATTCTATGATGGGGGCATTTTAAACTCCATTTTACAGCCAAAAATACTCTCCATGAAATGACTTGCCCTAATTCACACAAGCAGAAGAGTGGATGATTTCCAGCCCCCGAAAAAGTAACTCCAAAACCTGTGTTCTTAAACACTTGTCCGGGCATTGGGCTTGTAGTTGCCATGGAAATTGTCCTCTGTTGAGAGAGGACCAAGAGTGTCACGAAGCAGATGGCAAGGAGCTGCAGTAGGGAGGGCAGGGATTAAACCAAACCTACTGGGTTCACTAAGCAAATCAATAAGCAAGTTAGAACCAACGCGAGGTCTCATGGGGCGCGATCTCATTAATCTTAGCTGCTCTTCCAACACCGACTAGTGACAGGTCTTGGTAAAATGAGGGGACAGCGGCAGATACTCAAGAAATCATAAAGTTCGGAACTTAACACAATGTAGGGGGCGTACGCAGAAAGAAAGTGATCAGGACTTTCACAGGAAGGCATGGAGGAACGAGGAGGGCAGGGAGGAGAGCGGTTAGCCCCAAGAACAGGTGCAGTTTTGGGACTGGTTTTGGCATCAGGTACCGGAAGGGCCTGCCGGGAGGAAGGGGTTCCAGCTCTCTCAGGCCACGAGCCCGGCACCCGACTTCCTTAGAGGGCATTCTGCCTCACCCTTGGTCCCTTTTGTCGCAGATCCCAAGCTCACCAGGGGCCTGGGCGATGCCGTCCCCGGGTCTCCTGGAGACTCAGCCGCTTCCGCCATCTTGGCCCTTCCTTCTCCGGGCCGCTCCCACAGGCCTCTGCGGAACCCGAGACGTGGAGCCTGCGGCCGGTCGGCGAGTCGGCGCGCGCTGGCCGCGTCACCAAAAGGCGCCTGGCAAAAGCCCTTCGTAGGGTCTTGGCCTCCGGGGAGCGGTGTGAGACACCTCGCCTCGGTTCGTTTCTTAGGGCCCACGGACGAGCTACCCCGTCACCACTCAGCCCGAATTGTCAGATCGTTTCCTGGGATTTCCAACTCCGGCCCGCAGACGCCACACGCATCCGTTTCCGGCTCTCCCGAGAAGGCTGGAGTGCCAGACCCTCCCGGCGGCTCTGAAGGAAGAAGCCCGCCCCTCCCCGGCCCGCGGAGAAACTTCAAGTTTCCGCGCTCGCGCTCGGCAAGAGGTCAGGCCCTCCCTAACCAGCTGCTCCCTCAGCTGTTGCCCCTGCCCCTCCGGTTCCGCAGACTCTTCCCCACTTCTTGAACGTTTAGAACCTTCTCAATTATCGTCAAACCTGTCCCCAACTTTTCTGTCCCCAGCTTTCTTCCTCGCCCCCTCTGAGGAGGTGGGGAAGCTTCTATACATTCGCCACAATTTCAGACCCACTACAGCTTTCAAATTGCTAACAACTTGACGCAAGCACTGAAAATGTTTGAAGTCCGAAAAAGGATGACAGTTGTAAGAATATCTTTGAAGAAATACCTGTATGTCCCAACCTCTGCTTTCTCCTTCATTCGGGAACTTTCTGAGTGTTTCTCACTTAAGTTTACATTGGCCCCAGGGTAAAATGAGGTCAGGCAATACAGCTACTGTTGATGCAAGCTGTATTCTGGACACCCAAGTGCGCTCTGGAGATGGAATACCAGTTTTCTGCTTCAGACCAACGTGGTTGTGAGATAGGTATGATAGAAAGTGCTTTGCATTTTTTACACAGGGAATCAGGCCTGCATGATAGTAGTACGCCCTTCCCTACTGTAAATGTTCATAGTCTTAAAAGAGGATAATGATTTTAAGTGTATTATAGAATATTGAGTTCGGCTTTTTTTTGTGTGTGTGAGATATATTTGCAACTAAAAACAAAATTCAAGGGAAAAGAATATGGAATGTAGTGGGAAAGGAGCTGGTTACGGAGGGCCTGATGCCTTCCTTCCAGAAATAGTGTTGGAGAAGAGAGTGAGGAGGCATTCAGGGCATACACGCAGTTATTCTTGTTGAAATATTCTTAATGCTAATTCTTCTTCAAACAAAACAAATTTACAGAATTTGCACAAATACGGACCAGGTGATATTAAAATTTAGCTCAGTAAGTAAAAACCCTTTTTTAATTATAAGAGAATTATTATGTTCAGAGCTCCAGTCTCAGTGTCAGCTTCCCATTTCCACTTCCGTTATGACTTCCACCAGTTATTATCCGGTTACCAAGTCTTTTCCCACACTTCCCACAATGTCTTCTATTTTCTTCCAGCCTCGAAAATTAGTTATCTCTTCCTAACCACAACCCTCCAACTGCTGCCACCTAACTGCACCTTGTTGCCTTTCACCACTCTTTTCAAGAAAGCCTTGATCCTGGATTAAGGGGAGGATAAAACAGTTGTTGAGACAGTCAGTGTCCAGAGTACCTAGACATTATTTCGTACTGAAAATGCTAGTTTTCTTATTCAACTAAGAGGAGAGGCTTGAGTCTGAGATAACATGCTCCGGAAGTAATTCAGGAAGGAAGGCTGTGAAGGAAGGGAGTGATATAGGGACAAACTGCTACAAAAAGGTATTTTGGTTTTAGTTGTAAATATATCTCACAAAAATTGCCCAACTAATTCAGTATTCTGTAATACACTTCTTTTAAGACTATGAGCATTTACAGTAGGGAAGGACTTGCATGACTTGCCCAAAATTGTTTAGAAAGCAGATCTAACTTAGCACCTTTTGTCTGTAGAGCACTTTCCTTAGGTATTCAGCTGAATGTCCCTTGAATCTGTTTTCCCTGGACACAAATGTTTGCTCTAATATTTCAGTAATGCGAGCTATAAACACGTGCTGTAATTCCGTGGACATCATTTTAATAATAGGTCAAAGAAAAAAATCATCTCCATGCTGAAAATTCAGTTTCATCCCAGAAATACATTAAGTAGGAATGGAAAGATTTAATGGGATTAAAAAAATAAATAAATAATTCTGTCTCAAACAGAAAGCCACCTTCATACCGGGCATTCGCATTAAAACCAAAAATAAGACACACATGCCTATTATCACAATTATTTGACACTGATCAGGACATGCTAGCCACTACAATTAGACTCTTCTCTTTTGGCGAGGTCTGTTGGCTCATTCTCCCTGAAGCCATTGGCCCCTGTATATTCAAACTTTAACCCTCTCTTGAATACACAAGCTATGGTCCAGCCCTATAAACTCCAGGCACCTGGTTCGCAGTTTCACTATTTTCCCTTTCTTGACACTTCTCCCAAAGTATAGCTCTCCTCTGTATAAACACTCCACCCTTTCTAGTATAAACGTATTTTCTTTTCTTCGGCCTGTAAGATTTAGTGATAAACCCCACCCTTCTTAACCCATTCCCATTTTGCCTCCACCTCTTCCTCCATTATTTCCTTCCTCTACCCTATTCTCTGGTTCTTGCCATTTCCTGAAACTTTCATAACTTTTATTTCTACCCCAATTTCCAAAGTTATCTAACTTCTCTAACATAACCCTCATCCCTGGGCTTTCTCAGCACTTCTGTCTCAAGATTGTCTTGCCACTAGACAAAGAGATCAGATGATAAGGTAATTGTAGATGCAGTCATATTTGGGCTACAATGTACATGGCTTCTTTTCAACAGTCCAAGTAGAAGATTGGTATAAGAGAAGTAGAGAGCTTTGTGTTTTGGTTGATAGGTAGTCAACCAAAACTCCAAAGTCACTCTAAAGATAAAAAGATGTGAAGGATGTGAACAAGCTCACAAATATGAATTGCTATATGCTTTTAAGAACATTTAAAATTGTGTACACCTAGGAAGGGGAAGTATTAAATGGGTTAAGAAGGTCAAAAGGCAACTTCCACTTATGAAATAAATAAGTCATGGGGTTATAATGTACAGCATGGTGACTGCAGTTATAATACTGTATTGCATATTTGAAAATTATAAGACAGTCTAAAAGTCCTTATCCCAAGAAAAAAGTTGTAACTATGTATGTGGATGGATGCTAACTAGACTTATTAATATACCTGACTATTGAATAATGTTGTACACCTGAAACTAATACATTGTTACAGATCAATTTTACAGTGATTTAAAAAAAAAAAAAACAATTCTAAGCTTGCAAGCTACAACAGATTGTTTGACATGGCCGGTGCAAGAGGCACCATCAGGTTAGCAATGTGAATCCAGAATAATTATATGAAGAAGGGGGGTCATAGGCAAGCACACTGTTCTCAAATTTCCCTCACCTTAGAGCATGTAAGTCTGGCCAGTTCTTTTCTATGGTTTGTTTATATAGCAGTGCAATATTAAGTGAAATAAATTGACTTTTCAAGATCAATAAGAGTTGGGTCCAGAATAGTATGTACTCATTGTTCAAAACAAGTCCAGTGCTCCTTATGCATCTCTCTGCAAAAGAAACCATCAACACGAAAACCCATATGTTCCACAATGTTCAGCAGCATTATTTATAATAGCTAGGTCATGGAACCAGCCCAAATGTCCATCGATGGATGACTGGATCAAGAAGATGTGATACACACACACAATGGAGTACTAGGTAGCCATAACTAAAGATGAAATACAGACATTTTTAACAAAAATGAAGGGAGTCTGAGCGAATTATATGTATCAAAACAAGTCGGAATGATAAGGCAAATACTGGACATTTACATAGGACAAAATTCAATAACAAAATAATTTCATAAACAAAATGAGGGCCCACAGGTTTAAGAGGAAGGAGAGAGGGAAAGGAACGGGAATTTAAGGGATGGCGGTGGGGAAAATTAAATTATAAATTAAAAAATAAAACTATGATAGAAAATGTTAAAAGAAAAAGATCATGTATGAAAGAAATGTATAATTATACTGTATGAAGTCAGTGTTTGTTGTAAGTTTTTCTGAAAAGTACACTTCTCAAAAGCAAATAAAACCTATGCAAGTAGATGTCATTAAAATTATGCACAAAGTGAAGAGCAACGTATCTGTTGAACTACACATTTCTTCTTTCCACCCCTCTCAACATTTCCTTTTCAGAGGGAAGGATTGTGAATAAAGGAAAGATGTCAGAAGGATTGAAAAATGTAAGGACTCCCTGACAAAGATGGAACAGTAACTTTCCCCATATTTTATTTACTAAATTGCAACAGGAGAAATACCATATATATAAACTAATAATGTTGGGAAACAAAAATGTGAGGAAGTGTAAAAAAGTGGACAGAGGTCCCTGATGTTCCTCAACCTTGCTGTCCCTAAAGATGAGTAGTACATGGTTTGTTAACATCTGACTGCAAATTTTAAATATAGTTAATTCTGCAGTCCATTGCTTCAAATAATTTCTTACTCTCTTTCTCTGTAAAGATTCATTTATTTATGCATACAGAACCAGGGTACAGGCCAGAGGTGCAGTGAGAGGATTCACCAGAAACAAGAGTGGGGAGCAGAACAGAATGATGAAGTACACTGCTGAGGGGAGCAGCGGGTGAGACAGGAGAGGACTGCTGTGCCATGTGGGTCAAGTCCATGGCCAGGGATCAAACTTGCACTGAAGTGGCTGTGTCTGGCTTGCAGTGCTGTGCTACTAGGGAGAGCCTATCTGTGAATTCTTAGAAAAGGTCACTTCTTTCAAACAAGGCTACCTCACACCTTCTATCCTTTGATCCTATTGGGATTTACAATTCACTGATTTACCAATGTTCTACGTGCCTCAGCCCTGAGATGCCCTTTCTTCCCTCATTCAGCTTAAATCACCACTATCATTCATTAATAACACAGTCAAAAAACTTTGCCTGCCTGTTGCTTTATCTTACTTGGGAAAAGTCCAACACCAATTAAACCAACACCCTATATACCTGAGACCTGCAGTCAGCTAAATGTGTTTGGAACAAAGTATACACC